GGCCGCGCTGGCCCACCGCCCTGCCGTGACCTGCTGTGGAGAGGCTGGTTTTACCGTTTCCCAGCAGCTCCAGAAACAAGCAGAACCTTCCAGTCTGACTGGCCACTCTGGAAAGCTGCCCTGCAGAGGTCACACTGCACAGCGTCCTTCCGTGGGCGTCGGCAGGTGTGGCCCGTGACAGGGAGTGCGGAGCACCTGTGCCCTCAGTGTGGGGCGCTCACCACAGCTGTGATGGCTGCGATCCGATGCTGTTAATTATGTCTGGAGAGTGTTACGAGGGGTTGTCGGAAGAGAAAAGCAAGGCTGAAAGTGGGCCTCTGGGGGCCAGCAGGTGGTGTGATTAAGGTGCTGGATTCCCACATGGTCAACCAGGGTTCCAGTCCTGGACCTGGTGGCTTGTTTCTCACTTTCCCTCTTTGTCTCTCTGGTCAAATTAAAATAAAAATGAATGAATACATAAATAATTCTTAAAAAAAAAAAAAGAAAGAAAGAAAGTGGGTCTCTGGTCATTCTGCTTCTGTAAAGCAGTGCTGGTCCCACTGGCGACTGTGACCATGTGTGCATGTGCACATGTGTGCAGGGATGCAGAGGAGGAGATGGGAAGCTGGGGCCAGGAGATGGGGTGTGGGTGGGAGAGCTGGACAGAGCAGAGGATAGTGGAGGGCGGGGGACACTGAGCAGAGTAAGGAGGGGGCACTGCCCAGAAACCCACGCAAAGCTGCCACGGTGTCCTAAGAGGAAATGAGCGGCAGCATGAGCCACTGAGCTGAGCCTTCCCACGCCAGGGAGGGGAGCGCGACACCTCAGCCTCAGGCCTTCACAGACGGCACAGTCCCTCGCTCAGTTGGTCTGCAGCCTGGCTGGCGAGGAAGGCATCCCTGTGTTTGTTGTTGGACAGGCATGGGGACCTGCTGTTCCTGTTCCCCTCGAGCCTCGCTGGACCCTCGTCGGAAATGGAGACGTCTGTCCCGCCAGGGTTAAAGGCCGTGGGCGCACCCAGCGCTGTGGAAGATGAGATCGACCAGTACCTCAGCAGACAGGACGGGAAGATTTATAGAAGCCGGGACCCCCAGCTGTAAGTGTCCTGGACCCCGCTGGGGCTCCGTAGTCCTGCATGTGCTGATCCTGGCGGGTCCATCGAGGAAGATGTCTGTGGCGTGTCCTGTGTAACACATACCAGAGGAAAGAACATGAGTGGGGCTGACTATTTCAGATTAAGATTCACTCCAGTTTTTTATCTTGTTAGCTTTTTTTTTTTTAATTTCTGTTTTTTTAGGTTATTTTTATTTAACTTTATTTATTATTATCATTTTTTAATTTGACCAGAGAGACAGAAAAAGTAAGAAAGCAAGCCGCCAGGTCCGGGATGTGAACCGCGGTCAGCCGTGTGGGAGTCCAGTACCTTTACCACCACACCATCTGCTGGCCTTTCATGTTAGCTGTTTTTTTTTTTTTTTTTTAATAAATTTAATTCTCAATTATGTTCCACATAGATGGTTTTGATGTGTTTGGTAACAGATTCAGAAGTTCTCGGGGAGGTAGGCAGCTTTAGACTGAGTCTGCCCTGGGAGGTCCTTTGGCGAGTTCCGACCCTGCAGGATGATAGGCTTCAGAAAGGCACGGGCAAGGAAGGGTGCTCCAGACTGGAGCTGGGCGTGGGGTGTGCAGCGGTCTTGTGCCCCCGGCGCAGGCTGGTGCTGTGCTGTGTGCTCTCTCCGTCCTCAGGCAGCGCCGCCTCTGCCGAAGTTGCTGCTCCTTCTAACGTTCCTTTTGCACCTGGCTTTGGAAGTTGCTTGTACACGTGTACACGTGTTGTGGGTTTTCAGCTGGTGCCTCTGCAGCACGGCCTTTCTCAGTTATGCCTCTGTCGGTGTGATGGGTGCTGGCACTGAGTGATCAGTCCCGATGGCACACTGGCCACTTTGTCTGTGGGATTAAGGAGCGAGCACAAATGGTGCGAGCTGCAGTGACATGGGGTCACTTCGGAGCTGAGGCACTAGCCGGGCGCCTCTTCCCTTCAGGCTTTCTCCTAGAGACTGGGGCCTGCCACCCCACGGCCTGTGTCTCCACGCTCCGTTAGCAGCCTCTGGAGCACGGTATCCACGTGTGCGTGTCCTGCCTGTCCTCAGTGAGAGCCCTCTGCTCAGGGACACAGGGATGTCCTTGTGCTGAAATAGAACTCAACCGCATCTGCCGATTTCAACCCCCCTCCAGGGGTCCCATTGAGTTCCCAGTGGGCTGCGCATGCCCCCTGCCCTCGTGGACTAGCGCTCCCCCATTCCCCAGTGCTCCCCAGCGAAGAGCTGAGGCCCCCAGGGATGAGTATCCCGTGTGCTTTTTTTGAAGTGCACATGAAGTAGGTGTTTTCTGAACTCAGGGTTCTCAGACACCACTCCCAGGGCTTTGCCCTAGTCGCCTTCCAGCTTTCCGATCACTCACTAACATCTGCATTTAATCGTCTCCCACCCATTTGCTCCTGGTGGTAAAGTATGCACTTTCAAATACCAGACGTGCTGGGGCAGCCAGAAGAGTAACCGGACTCACCGCTGCACGCTCTCTGCCTGTCTCTCCTCAGATGCCGCCACGGCCCTCTGGGGAAGTGTGTGCACTGCGTTCCCCTCGAGGTGAGTCTCGCAGCTGGGCCCTGATGGTCAGAGCCCTGGGGTGTCCTCTGAGCGCTTGCACTTGGAAGTGGCGGTTGGCAGAATTGTCTGTTGACTACCCTGGGCTTCCTGTGCCCACCAGTACACCTTGCACTGAGGATGAACTTGGATTTAAGGGGCAACCTTCTTGGTGGGTTATGGATGGCCAGCGCCTTAAGTTACTGATAAAGGGGAGTGTCCCCTTCAGGTCTGCTGCAAAGCTGCACCTGCTGGCTCTCATGTTTGTCCTGACCATCACGTCTCCTCTGCTGGCCTGTCTGATGAGATCGAGCATTACTAGAATAAGGCTGACTGCTGACTAGTTAGAGCTGCTACAGCACAGCCACCCTGAAGTTTTCACAAGGCACCGCGTGCTTCCTCCTGTGGCTTCTTTTTTTTTTTTTTATTGATTTTTGCTACAGGGTGTGTGTACTCACCAGAGAAACAGAAAGTGAGAAATCACCCCCAAGGAGTGATGGCCACGCCCCAATCCCTGCTTCATCCCATTGGGATTTGGGGTACATGGACACATGCACCCGGCATGAGTTTCAAGCTGCTGGGTCTGGGACTTGAACCACAGTGGATCACGTGGGAGTCCAGCACCTTAACCACTACACACCTGTCGGTCCATGGCTTTTATTTTTTCTGCAAAATTTTCTTGAAACTTAACTCAGTGTTTTGTTTGTATTTATTTATTTATTTTTAATGTATATTGGAGAAGTTTCTGCTGCTCTGAAAGGTACCATCTGTTATCTGAACAGTGGCTAGAGAACAAAGAAAATGAGTAGGTGGGTATAAGAAATTCAGTCCAATTCTGGAAAACATGTGTTTGACTTAGTCTTTTTTTTTTTTTTAAGAATTATTGACCATTGGGACCAGGAGTTAGCGTAATGGCTATGTCGCTGGACTCCCATGTAGCCGACAGCGGTTTGAGTCCCGAGCCCAGTGGCTTAAACTCACACCTCACGTGCGTGCGTGTGTGCCTAAGATCCCAAGAGGAGAATGGAGGAGAATGGTTTGCGGCATGACCATCCCCCCTGGGGGGTGATTTCTCGCTTTCTGTCTCTTGTCTTTCTGGCCAGTGCACATGCCCTATGGCAAAAACCTCTTTAAAAAAAAAGAGTTATTGACTATCATTAATATTATTATTATTATTTTGGAGAGGATTTTTTCACTGTAGGGCGCATGCACTCGCCAGACAGACAGAGACATAGAGACAGAAAGCGAGAAATCACCCCCCAGGGGGGATGGTCACGCCGCAATCCCTTCTCCTCCATTCTCCTCTCAGGATCTTGGGCACGCATGCACACATGCCTGGTGTGAGTTTTAAGCCACCGGGTCCAGGACGTGAACCGCGGTCGACTACGTGGGAGTCCAGCGACATAGCCATTACGTTAACTGGTGGTTCCCAATATTATTATTATTGTTACTTTAATTCATCAGAGAGAAACAGAGAGAGAAGTAAAGTGAGACAGCAAGCCTCCAGGTCCAGAACGTGAACCGTGGTAGGCCTTATGGGCATCTAGTACCCCATTCACCGTGCTACCTGCTGGTCCCTTGATTTCGTTTTTATTTTCTTGTTTTTACATATAAATATAATGATTATAGAGTTAAACAACTTTGGAAAATATAGTAGGCATGGGTCCAGCAGGTGGCGTAGTGGCTAAGGCATTGGAGTTCCACATGGCTGACTGTGGCTCAAGTCCTGGACCTGGAGGCTTGACACTCATGCTGGGTGCATGTGTGTGCATGCCCCAAATCTTGAGAATGGAGAAAAGATTGCAGCATGGCCGTCCCCCTGGGGGGGATTACTTGCTTTCAGATCTCTCTGGTAAGTACACATGCCCTATAGTAAAAATCTCCCCCACACACAAAAAAATATATATACTTAGGCTTTTTTTCCCCAAGCAAACGTTACTCAGTTCATTCAGAAAGCATTGACAAAATAAGAGTGTTTTGTATTTAATAGAGATTCAGGTTAACCATGAAGAGATAGCTGGGGGAAAAAAGGGTGCTCAGAGCTGGTGTGACCCACGAGGCCCAGGCACCCATTCCCCTCGTCGCCCCGGGCTCCCTGCTAGTGCAGGTGCAGGTGCAGGTGCAGGTAGGTGCAGGTGCAGGTAGGTGCAGGTGCAGGTAGGTGCAGGTGCAGGTAGGTGCAGGTGCAGGTAGGTGCAGGTGCAGGTAGGTGCAGGTGCAGGTAGGTGCAGGTGCAGGTAGGTGCAGGTGCAGGTAGGTGCAGGTGCAGGTAGGTGCAGGTGCAGGTAGGTGCAGGTGCAGGTAGGTGCAGGTGCAGGTAGGTGCAGGTGCAGGTAGGTGCAGGTGCAGGTAGGTGCAGGTGCAGGTAGGTGCAGGTGCAGGTAGGTGCAGGTGCAGGTAGGTGCAGGTGCAGGTAGGTGCAGGTGCAGGTAGGTGCAGGTGCAGGTAGGTGCAGGTGCAGGTAGGTGCAGGTGCAGGTAGGTGCAGGTGCAGGTAGGTGCAGGTGCAGGTAGGTGCAGGTGCAGGTAGGTGCAGGTGCAGGTAGGTGCAGGTGCAGGTAGGTGCAGGTGCAGGTAGGTGCAGGTGCAGGTAGGTGCAGGTGCAGGTAGGTGCAGGTGCAGGTAGGTGCAGGTGCAGGTAGGTGCAGGTGCAGGTAGGTGCAGGTGCAGGTAGGTGCAGGTGCAGGTAGGTGCAGGTGCAGGTAGGTGCAGGTGCAGGTAGGTGCAGGTGCAGGTAGGTGCAGGTGCAGGTAGGTGCAGGTGCAGGTAGGTGCAGGTGCAGGTAGGTGCAGGTGCAGGTAGGTGCAGGTGCAGGTAGGTGCAGGTGCAGGTAGGTGCAGGTGCAGGTAGGTGCAGGTGCTGGTGCTGGTGCAGGTGCAGGTAGGTGCAGGCGCAGGTGTTAGTGCAGGTGCAGGTGCTAGCGCAGGTGTGCCAGCATGCTCATTCACTATGTGTATTTTGCAGCCATTTGATGAGGACTACCTAAACCACCTCGAACCTCCTGTGAAGCACATGTCCTTCCACGCCTACATCCGGAAGCTGACGGGAGGAGCCGACAAGTAAGCCGTTGGTGGCACCGGGTGTGCGGGCTCTACTGTGTGTTGTCCAGTAGTGGTCACTTACAGTCCTATGCCAGTGACAGAGAAAACAGAAGCAGGCTGGGGCACAGAGCCTTGGCGTTCCTGGCTTTTGTCATGACCCTAGGGAAGAAGTGGGATGTAGCAGACCCCTGCTGTGTGCCCTGGCACTCGGCACTGCCTCTGCCACCACCCTTCCCTCGCACAGCGCTGTGTGGGTCAGTGCCGGAGGCTGGAGGGGTGTGGCCTGCCGAGTGCGTAGTTCGAGGAGCTCTTCCTCTGCTTCCTAGGAAAGGTGCTCTGATAACCTCCCCACCCCCTGCCCCAGTCCTGCCCCAGCGAGCCAGACCCCCAGCACCCTGCCTGTCTGGCTCGACACCTGATGCCACAGTAGTTGCAGGCTCCAGGCCCAGCCTGTCCTTGTCTCCCAAGTGCGAGAAGTCGCCATGACCAGGATGAGGTGACTAGGCACGGGCTCCCATTTCCACCTAGGGAGGCACTCATTTGCTCACTTCACACCCCTCTCCAGAAAGCACCAGTTGCGGCCACTAGTTGGGACCCTGTCAGCGCTCAGAGGCAGTATGTGGCACTCCTCTCACAGCACACAGACGCTCAAGGGTGGCTTTGGGGTTAGGTGAGGAGGAAAGCCCACGCATGCCTGCCAGTGGGGAAAGCTATGGAGCTCTCCAGAGTGGAAGTGCATGGAGATTGATTGTGGTGAAATAAACCTGGTCAGCCTCTGTGCAGTCCGAAGGCCACAATCTCCTGGGGCGCATGTTTGCAGGTGTCGTTAGCACGCAGACTTCGATTTATGAATGAGGAAAACAGTTCCTTGTGCAGATTGTCCCCAAGTTACGGTGGGGCCAGGACTTTATCAGGGAGCATCTCCTAATGGCAGCTTTTCTGTTAGTGAAGGCAGAGTTGGGGGATCTTTGCTATGTGCCTACCAGGTTCTCCTGTGAGTAAAATATTTCATAAATTTTACCAATAATGTCAAAGTTTCTTTTTATTTATTTACTTAGGAGAGATTTTTGCTATAGGGCGCATGTGCTCGTCAGGGAGACAGAAAGCAAGAAATCACCCCCCAGGGGGATGGTCACGCCACAATCCCTTTTCCTCCATTCTCCTCTCGGGATCTTGGGCAGGCACGCACACGTACCCAGTGTGAGTTTAAGCCACCAGGTCCGGGACTCAAACACAGTCAGCTACACGGGAGCCCATAGCCATTACGCCAACTGCTGATCCCTAAAGTTGATGATAAATTAATGAAGCTCAAAACACCTCATTCCCTCTTAGTGGCCTAGGTTAGATCACTACCTACTGATACTCAGTATTCTTTATTTTTTGTGAGATTTTCACTGTAGGGCGCGTGCGCTCGCCAGACAGACAGAGAGAGACATAGAGACAGAAAGCGAGAAACTCCCCAGGGGGGATGGTCATGCCACAATCCCTTCTCCATTCTCCTCTCGGGATCTTGGGCACACACGCACACGCGCCCGGTGTGAGTTTTATGCCACCGGGTACAGGACGCGAACTGCGGTCGACTACGTGGGAGTCCAGCGACATAGCCATTACGCTAACTGCTGGTTCCCAGATACTCAGTATTCTTGAAAACCTTCATGGAAGCTAGTGATGGATGGTGAGAACAAAAACCGCGTCTTTGTGGAATGTCATGCGTGTCCCTGTGTAGTGCGAGGATAGTGTGGGATGTGACGGAGCTCCCGGGGAAAGGTCTCCAGCACTTCCTGCTGCTGTCACCTGCTGAGCTCTTAGAGCACTGCACGGGGTGGGAGACCCCTGGTGTGTAGCTCCTCATCGCCATGGGACTTCACATACTGCAGTTTCCCATTAAGTCGCTTCTCTTTGTCAGGGGGAAGTTTGTTGCCCTGGAAAACATCAGCTGCAAGATTAAATCAGGCTGCGAGGGGCACCTCCCATGGCCTAACGGCATCTGCACCAAGTGCCAGCCAAGTGCCATCACACTGAACAGACAGGTGAGCTGTTTCCTGTGTGTGCTGACATTTATCTTCATGGCTGACACATGGAAATTTCCAGAAGAGCCACTCTTTAGAAAAGGACTGCTGCTAGCAGAGGATGTGGGGTGTGGTGGGTTCTCAGTTATTTTGTGATGGATTGATTGGCCCTTTTGTAGAAATTGTATACTAAAGTTTTGATTTACCACATTTAATTCTTTTTTTTGAGAGTTTTGCTATCTGGTATGCTTGCTGGAGAGACAAAGCGTGACAGAAAGTAAGAAATCTACCTCCAGTGTGGATGGCCATGCCATCCTCTGTTCTCCTCTTGGGATCTTGGGCATGCATGTACATATGCCCAGCATGAGTTTCAAGCCATTGGGTCTGGGACCCGAACCACGGTCAGTCATGTGGGAGTCCAGCAACATAACCACTACATCTTCTGCTGGTCCTCCCAGATTTAATTCTTTTTTTTTTTTTTTTTTTCTTTTTTTGGAGAGATTTTTGCTATAGGGCGTGTGTGCTCGCCAGACAGGCAAGAGAGAGACAGAGAGACAGAAAGCAAGAAACCCCCCCCCCCAGGGGGGGGTGGGCC